ACTTATACAATATAAAGAACCTAATTTCCTTCTAGAAAAGAAATTAGTCGAAACATATTCTTCATCGGGCAAGCCTGAATCATATCTTCAACCAATAAACTTAGCTTCTCAATGTTGGATTATGATAGAGATCACTTGAATTATCCTGCACACCCCATTCTCTTCACAGGTGCTTTAGCTATAATATTTTCATTTTTTTTTTTTTTATGATTTGGACCACCCAGTATCCGGAAGCTTACTGAGTCACTAACTAATCCAGATTCGAGCCGAACAGAACCAAATAGACGACAAAACTCTTCTTCATAAGTTTTAACGGAACTGCATTATCAAGACTTTAAATCAAAACCTTTTGTTAAACTGAAAAAGTTTCTTACCAACTCATTCACCCACTCGTGCATAACTATAATATTTCCTAAAAGGAGATACACAAATCCTTTTTGACCCTAAAGATTTGCTGACTTTATTGCTCAACAAAGATTTGTGAAACTTTATCTTGTATTTTAACTTTGGCAAAGGTATAATATTTAGAAAATTTTATAATGTAGTCCGAGTAAAGGTATAATATTTGAACCATTAATAAAGAAGTGAGTCTGCAATATTATGAAAAAAAGATAAAAAAATTTGCACTTGAAGAATCCCAAAAAATTTAGAGTTAGGATCAACTTATACTAATATAAGTATTGTATCAATTTTTAGCTACTCATTTTAAAATTTTATTCTATATATTTCAAAGTAACTATCATTTTTTTATTTTAAGTTTATCTTAAATTGATATTAACTCAAATGATTTAATAAATAATAATATCTCACCATCGCCGCTAGGGTTCTCCTTCTTCGACGTGCGAGCTTCTCACCTCGATGCTGCTCCTTGCTTTTGCAGGGCCTCCCTCCTCTCTCTTTCTTCTTTGTTGCCTTTCTCCTCTTCCTTCCATGGATCAAACACGTATTTTGGCCTGGAACTGTCGAGGCCTTGGAGAGACTTCTACGATTTCAGAGTTGAAAAAACTTTGTTTCTAACAAAGGCCTAATATCATCTTCCTCTTTGAAACAAAGCGCACAGTGGGTGAGATGAATTCGATTTGCTTAGATCTAGGGTTTGATCAGTGTTTTGCTGTTGATTGTGTAGGTTGCTCTGCTCTAGCTAGACGAATTTCACTTAACTGTTTCCACTTTCTCCCAATCTCATATAGATGTTGAACTTGTTGATCTGGGTGGGGGTAAATGGCGACTCATAGGGTTCTATGGACATTCGGAGACCACCCGAAGAGAGGAATCATGGACCCTATTAAAATCACTTAAGGTTGCCTCTTCTCGACCGTGGCTGTGCTTAGGCGACTTTAACAAAATTCTAAGGCAATCGGAAAAGGTAAGAGGGAACCATCGACCATATAAACAAATGGAAGTCTTTGCAGAGGCTTTAAACTTCAATGACTTTAAAGAAATGGGTTTCAAAGGTCCTCAATTTACTTTTATACGGAAGATGAATGACAATATCAAGGAGAGACTTGACAGAGTTTTGATGAATCCAGCGTGGTTGGGGATGTTTCCTGGGGCTTTCTCTCATCATTTACTTGCTTTGAAATCAGATCACACTCCAATTTTGGTGATAGCATCAAAAACGATGAACGGTTTTCAAAGTAAAAGATCTAAGCTATTTCGATTTGAGAACTATTGGACCAAAGAACCCGAATGTGAGGAAAACATCAAGGATGGTTGGAAGAATGAAGAGGGAGACACAAACATGTCCAGAGTGTTGTCTAAAATTACCTCATGTGGCTCCCTCCTTACAGACTGGAGCCAACATAAATTCGGCAATATACTTGAAAGAATTAAAATGTTGCAAACGAACTCATGAGTGTTCGCAATGGTACAACACAAGACAACAGCTTAGGGAGGATGGATGATTTAGAACAGGAGCACAATGATTAGCAGCGACAGGAAGAGGTATCATGGAAGCAGCGCTCAAGAGTACAATGGTTAAAAGAGGGCGACAAAAATACTGCATTTTTCCATAACAGAGCTTCTGCCAGGCACAAAAAGAATCACATTGCTGGACTATTGGATGATAGGGGCTCTCTCGTAGCAGATAAAACAGGGATAGAAGGAATTTGCATTAAATATTTTAGAGATTTATTCACTTCCAAATACTCTGGTCCAAATAGAAGCATCCTAAGCGCATTATAGGGGCAAGTCTCGCCTTCGATGGCAAATAGCCTTGATAGAGACTTTACTAGTTTTGAAGTTCTTGTTGCCTTAAAGCAAATCCATTCTTCAAAGGCCCCAGGGCCTGATGGGATGAATACCAGTTTTATAAAAATTACTGGCATATTATAGGAGGGGATATTACATCGGCTGCATTAGACTTCCTTAATAAAGGACTTATGGTGAGAGATGTGAACCTTACTCATATTTTTTTGATCTTAAAAGTTAAAAGTCCCTCTTCTATGAAGGATTTTCAACCCATAAGTCTTTGCAATGTGCTGTACAAAATCATATCCAAAGTCTTAACCAACAGGCTTAAATCTATCCTACCGCACATTATATCAAACAATCAGAGTGCTTTTGTTCTTGGGAGGTTAATTTATGACAACATTATGGTAGCCTTTGAAGCTATCCATCATCTGAAAAATAAAAGGGTTGGCCGGAGATGTAATATGGCTATCAAACTTGATCTCAGCAAGGTGTTTGATAGAGTAGAATGGAACTTCCTAGAAGACACTATGCGAGTAATGGGCTTTCCTGAGAGGTGGATTAATCATGTCATGATGTCTGTTTGCACCGTAGAATATTCTGTCTTGATCAATGGTTGCCCGACAAAGAAATTCATTCCAAGCAGGGGTATGAGGCAAGGAGATCCCCTTTCCCCTTTCCTTTTTCTCTTATGTGCCAAAGGTTTATCAGCTCTATTATCAAGGGCCATCAGTAGAGGGGAATTAAAGGGATTGTCATGGTGCCAAGGATGCCCTTGTTTGTTGCATTTGTTTTTTGCAGATGACAGTTTGTTGTTTGGGGAAGCGTCTGTCCAAGAAGCTACAAAGCTGTTGGAAATCTTCAAGGAATATAAGGGGGTTTTTGGCCAACAAATTAATCTTGACAAATCATCTATTTTCTTCAGTAGTAATACTTCCACTGCTATGCAGTAGCGGGTGATGCAAACCTTAAACATGTCCAAAGTCATTGCAGATGATAAGTATCTTGGACTCCCCTTAATTATTGGGAGAAAGAAAGCTATCTATTTTGAGTCTATCCGAGAGAGAGTTTGGTCCAAAATCAAAGGCTGGAAAACAAAATTGCTATCTCATGCCGGATGAGAAATTCTGATTAAAGTAGTTGTGCAAGCTACTCCTACATACTACATGGGTTACTTTAAGCTTCTGCAAAATTTTCTTCAGTCATTAAACAACATTATCAGCAATTTTTGGTGGGGAGATAACATTGATAGAAGGTGAATCCATTGGTTACAATGGGATCTCATTTGTAAGCCTAAGCGATTTGGAGGACAAGGCTTCAGAGATTTTCAAGCTTTTAATTTAGCTATGTTGGCAAAGCAGAGTTGGCGTTTGATGCAGGATAGGACCACCTTATGCTATCAAATTCTCAAAGTGAAATACTTTCTTGATGGAGATTTATTGGGAGCTTATGTAGGAGCTAACGTCTCTATGGTCTGGCAAGGGGTTGTTGATGGCCTTGGTATTCTAAAATTGGGATCAACTTCGAGAATAGGCACTGGACAGGACATTCGACTCTAGAGAGACAACTGGTTGCCTTTTGGGGCTATCCCTCGGCCACGGTCTGCTCTTATTCAACAGGGCATGGATGATAGGGTCAGTGCTCTCATAGATGTTAATAAAGGCTGCTGAAAGGAAAAAGATGTTCGACAGCAATTCTGTGCAGAGGATGTAGAAAGCATTCTACACATCCCCCTTAGTAGAAGATGCTTCGTTGACAAATTAATATGGCTTGGGACCAATAATGGCAAATTTTTGGTTAAATCTACCGACAAATATGCTTGGGAGTTGATCTTTGGCACTCAGCACCAGGCTCATGATCAAATCCTGAAACCAGTTTGGAGCACAATTTGGTCCTTGAATGTTCCCTCTAAACTTAAGCATGTTTTGTGGAGGATAATATGGGAGATTTTGCCCTCTCAAGATATACTGCAATCGCGTGGCCTCAAGATTGAGCAAGAATGTGGTATTTGCGATGCAGTAGCAGAATCTTATTTTCATCTGTTTTTTGACTGTGCATGGAGTAAAGCTGTGTGGCAAGAAATCCTTCCAACAACTTTCTTGCATTCTATACAACAGAGTACATTTCTCGATGACTTTCTTGACTTGTTCCTGGCATTGTGTTCAGAAGATAGAGAATTAGTCGCTGTGACTTTGTGGTCTATCTGGAATAACAAGAATCACTATATTTATAAGCATTCCTGCCTTTCACCTACTCGAAGCATTTGGGCCATTAGATGCTATATCGATTAGTATCGAGCAGCAACAGTACAGGTTGAAGATAATTTATAGGAAATTTTACCTCAACCAGTTCTCGCCAAAGATGCTTGGACTCCGCCTCCCCAGGGGTCATTAAAATCAATGTTGACGCTGGGGTTCCATCTCAGTCTGGTACAGCAAGTCTCGGGGTAGTACTTAGAGACAGCAACAGTGGTGTGCTTAGTGCCGACAAAAAGACCATCAGCTTCCAAGGCAGTGTCACTCACGCAGAAGTCTTACCAATCAGTTTTGGGGTGCAGCTCGAGAAAGAGTTTGGGTGCAAAAATGTCGTTGTCGAGTTTGATAGTAAGAATGCAGTACAAGTGGCAGCTTCATCGGATGAGTGTTTCCTAGTCTACCGGGTCGTTGTTGAAGAGCTACAAGAACGTACCAGATTATTTGATTCTTGCTTTTTTAAATTTGTTCATAGAGCTTTGAATGAGACGGCTCATAGAATAGCACATATGCATTTCCCATTACCACCTTGGGAAGGGGTTTGGGTGGGTACTTTACCCTCAGCAATTGCTACTGATTTGGTTTCTTAAGCAATAAAATACATTTTTCTATAAAAAAAAGTTTATCTTAAATTAATTATCATTTTTTTAAGATAAATAAATATTTTTTTCTACTTTAATCTTATTATTATTCATTTATTTTGATTAATTATTTTATTACAAAAAATCTCATTTTAGCTCTTAACTTCTTTTAAGAATAATGTAGGTAAATATATAAATAATTCTTAAATTTTAACTTAAAAAAATAAAAAATAACAATTATTATGAAAAAAAAACTAATGTAATACTTACATTTTGAAACGAAACCTTTAAATTTTAAAATATGTAGCTGAAAAATAGTGTAAGCAAAATC